GAATTAAGTTTTTTCATAATTATTTAGTATTATTTAACATGGTCTAAGTGGATATTTTTCTAATGTTTACTATTCAAGGTTTTTAGAGAGAAACAAATTATAAGACATAGTCTGTCCTTATGGAACTTGTTTTAAAGTTAGAAACAGGTAGGTATTTAAGGTTATCAATGGTTGGCATGATTGGGATTCTCCAGTGTGAAGCAATAATAGGGGCACCATTTTGGAAATTTGAAAATAGAGGAAAGGCAGAAGAATATGGAGAATTTTAAAGAAGGAAGATTTTAGAAAACTGTTGTGGTAAATAAATACAAGCAAGACCAAAGTCAAAGATGATCAGATTATGGACTAGTTTGGGAGAGGAATGAGAAGATCAATAATTTAGTAGTTTACCCAGATATGGTATCCAGAAGAGCTCAAAAATAAGAGGACTATAGGGTCTCTGTGCTTTAAAATCTCAAGATAACATGTCAGTTTAAGTAAAGGCAATCCTAAAAAGATAACTCTGAGAAGTTGGTTTTGAGCATCTTGAGATCATAATATCACAGCATCTAACAATCAACAAGTAAGAGCAAAATTTGTGTCATCCTGACATTGAATTTTATTAGATTATTTTTTTCTTCATTGCTCAGTATCTTTCTGTTATTACTACAAGTATTTCAATTGCTCTTGTTAGGTAGATTTTGAACCAATGCCCATAAATTTCATTGTTTCTATTTTAAGTCTGCCTATTTGAAGAAATGGTGAGATAATTTAGCTGAGTTCTGTTTTAGGCTTTTTTCTTTTTTTTTTTAAAGATTTTTTTTTTATTTACGCATACAAAAACTGGGATACAGGCCAGAGGTGTGTGTATGTGTGTGTGTGTGTGTTGTGGGGGGGACGTTGAGTGGTGGGGGTTTGGTGAGAGGATTCACCTTAGAGAGTAGGGAGCAGAACGGGCATATCTACTGAAACACACTGCTGAGGGGAGCAGCAGGGGAGACAAGAGAGGTCTCACACCATGTGGGTCACCTTCCTGGCTGGCAATTGAACTCATGCTGTAGTGGCTACAATTTGCTTCTGTTGTGCCACCAGGGAGGGCCCTCTTTTTTTCTTTATACTTGTCCCTCTGCACTAAAACAAATCCTAAGCTAAATTGTGTTTATTATTTTATTATCAGGATTCAAATTTCAATTCACGTGCTCATTTTAAAAGGTAGAGATATCTTTTAATCTACCAACAAAGTCTCTTCTGACTAAACTCTTAATCTAGGGTTTGAGCTATACTTTCAAGCAAATAGTTTACAGATAAATACTATCTTAGGAGACTTTTGAGATCATTTAGTACAGTTAGTACAGCTCCCTATTTCTAAAGTTAATATTTGAATTGATGGAATAAATAATAGTTAAAAGCTACTGAATTTGTGATCTCTTGTAATTAAAATAGTCCTTTAACATGTACAATAATAAATTGGTAGCATTGCTGGCCTTAAGAACTATTTTTTTTTTTTGTGAATGTCAGTCACAACTTAGTTCTGAAAATAGTTATTATTTCTAATTCCAATCTAAAACAGATAGACTCCGGACTGTAGAATTGAGGCTTCCTGAGTGGTAGGAGGAGAAAAAGTAGGGAGAGGACAGAGTAGACTTTGGTAGGGGTCTTTGGGTGCCATGTGGTGGGTTTGGTGTGGTAACAAACACCTGACAGCTGTGGTTCTATCTAAATCATATACAGTATTCTAAACCAATGTTGCCTCAATTAAAAAAAATATTTTATTTAAGCGAATAGAAAAATAATAATGAAAAGACAGCTCATATCTATCATTCAGTATAATATAACCACGTTACTCATTATAGTTTCTGTTTTTACTCCAAGACACATGCACACACGTGTGTTCATATTTTAATAATTGTGTTTACTTATAGAATATTTTAAAATGTAACTAATAAAGCTCTCTTAAATATTTTCTCATTGATCCTGAATTTTTTTTTGACTTTACAAACTTTTACCACATAAAAGAAAATGTGTATGTATGTATACATACATATATAATACAGATATGTTGGTAAGTTTAATATGACTTAAATTTTGATCTGTGGTTGCCTGGAAATTTTATTTTATTTTTTTAATGTCAATATCACATATATATGTCTATATATCTCTCTATATAGATAATACAGATTTTTTTTTGATTGCTTTTTAGTATCTAGGCAGGGGAGGGGTTGTTTTGTTTGTCTCTATTAGTACAAAGATGGAAACAAGATCACTATATACTGTGTATGTGATAGAGGATATTTCATTTGAAGGATTAAAATTTTTTATACTTTGTGTTTGTTAGGGTCTGTATATCCATGTTATAGATTTTTTTCTTACTAATTTCAAGAATTGTCATTATATGACACATTAAAATGAAATAAACTTCAAATTATATAAAGTTACATTTTTTTTTTAGTTACACAATTTGAAATAACCCAGTGTTAAAGAGTATATATTTGGCAACTATTCATTTGGCAAATATTTCAGGAAGGTCTAAATGTATCAGTACACTTCCAGCATCACAGCAGGGTGGATAGGAAACACAGATGTGGAGCATGGCTCTCTGGATCTTAAGACCAATACTCATCTATATTAAGTACACGTTCGTAGGTACTGGGATCAGTCTGTCTTGTTCATCATTTTTTTAAAATGTGAACTGTTTATTTTTTTATAGTAACTATTTTTTTTTAAGATTTATTTATTTGTACATACAGAACTGGGGTAGAGGCCAGAGGCTCAGGGGCGGTGAGAGGCTTCACCAGAGACAGAGTGGGGAGCAGAACAGGCAGATCTATGAAGTACACTGCTGAGGGGAGCAGTGGGTGGGTCAGGAGAGATCTGCCACACCATGTGGTCACCTCCGTGGCAGGCGGGGATCGAACTCATCGGGAAGTGGCCTTAGGCTTCTTAGTGCAGTGCTTTAACCCACTGCGCCACCAGGGAGGGCCCTATAGTAACTATTTTTTAAAAGATTTATTTATGCATACAGAACTGGGGTGCAGGCCAGAAGCATAGGGGAGGTGAGGGGATTCACCAGAGTCAGAGTGGAGAGCAGAGCAGGCAGAGTGACAGAGTACACTGCTAATGGGAACAGCAGGCGAGTCAGGAGCCGTCTGCAGCATGTGGCTCACCTCCTGGGCAGGGGATTCAACTCCTACAGAAAAGCAGCTGCGGCCAGCTTTGCAGTGCTGCGCTCAAACCCCTTGTGCCACTAGGGAGGTTCCTTGCTTGATCATTATTTCAAATAAGGGATTTGGCAACTGATTATAACCAAAATTTACTTGAATATACAATGTCCATTGTATGGGCTGAATTCTAATACTTTGTTCTTATTTAGTGAGTCAAGGGACTTATTTTTTTTTTTATTAAAGATTTATTTATTTATCCATATAGAACTGGGGTACAGGCCAGAGATGCGGAGGGTGAGAGGATTCACCAGAGACAGAGTGGGGAGCAGAACAGGCAGATCAACAAAGTACACTGCTGAGGGGAGCAGCGGGCGGGTCAGGAGAGGTCTGCCACGCCATGTGGCCTCCTCCGGGGCAGTCGGGAATCGAACTCATGCGGAAGTGGCTTTAGCTTCTCAGTGCAGTGCTTTAACCCACTGTGCCACCAGGGAGGGCCGGGGACTTATTTTTTAATCTTAAAGTAAACTTAGTAAAATAAAATAATCTCAAATAAAATAATCTCTGTAAATTTAGTGTTCTTTCTTACTTCCTTGTTTTTTTTAAGCAGATTTATTTATTTATGCGTACAGAACTGGGGTACAAGCCAGAGGTGTAGGGGCAGTGAGAGGATTCACCAGAGACAGTGGGGAGTAGAACAGGCAGATAGAGGAAGTACACTGCTGAGGGGAGCAGTGGATGGGTCAGGAGAGGTCTGCTGGGACATGTGGGTCACCTCTGGGGCTGGGGATCAAACTCGCACTGCAACAACTTGCAGTGCTGCATCCTTATCCATTGAGGCACTAGGGAGAACCCCTTTTTACTTTAAAAAATGTGGTAAAATGTGAAAGTAATCATTTTAACCACATCACCAATATTGTGCAAATATTGCCAAACCAATTTTTTTTACCACCCTAAGTAAAAATCATTCTTTTCAACTATTAGAAGAATTATTTATTTTCTTTCTTTTTTGAACTTAGTCTTGCCTTGCAGCAATCCAGTATTCATTGAAACTGAGATTGTCATGTGAATTTGAATGGTTTCTTTTTCATTTGTGCTTTTTCCATATTTCTAGGTGACTATCCAATTATGTTTCATTTTATTATAATTTTATGTTTTGTTTTGCTTCTTTTAGAAAAAAGAAATAGGTACTCATAAAACTTGAAGGAATTAAACTAAGTAATGTAAATGCAAACAAGGGAGGAAAGATTGCAGATTAAAGACTCTGGTACACAGAAGTGTGTGGGCAGTCTCAGTCTTCCCTGCCTACTACTTGCCTGGAACAGGAAACACCCAGTATACAAATGTTTGGGCCTATGATCTAAAACAATTCCTTACTTCAATCACTAGATATGAATTGTACTCAACAGGAAGGATTTTTCGGTAGATACTTTATCTGATATATTACTCCATGTGCTCAAACAAAAATATTGCAGTTTAAAGAGATTAAAACTTTCATTAAAGAACATTAAATGCCCTATTCAGTTACTTTTCTTTTGCTAAAATGTTATTAATGTTCCTGGGCCACTTTTCTTCCTCATCCATAATAGTCACACAGTATGTTCTATGATAAAGAAATAGAGAAATTACTGGGGAATGTTTTCTTTTTTTATAAACCAATTAATTTAAAACAAATATGAAGGTCATCTTAATTTTAATTTTTGCATGTTAAGATTTTTTGTTACTTTTGTTACATTACATATTAATATTTTATTTCACATAACATTATATAATTTTCACATAATCAGAAGTGTAGCTTTCGTCTGCATTTATTATCCTTTATTTTTAAAGTGTGACACTTCTAATAAAATGTATTTATTACAGCTGAAAGATGGTGGCAAGGCATCTCAGGCGAATGTAAGAATAGGCGATATTGTCCTCAGTATTGATGGGATAAGTGCACATGGAATGACTCATCTTGAAGCCCAGAACAAGATTAAGGGTTGTACAGGCTCCTTGAATATGACACTGCAAAGGTAAGTTTGTATTTGTTTATTTCCAAGAGATAAAGCAACACAGTGGAATGTATTTTTCTATGTTTGATTCATGGTATTAACTAAGAAACAGTTTTTACTGTCATTGTTTCATATGCATCAAGAAAATAATGACTCTTAATCTTATTGGGTAATAGAACCACATGAGAATTGCCGAAAGCTTTGGATTATCTTCTCATAAAAGTGTATGTATTTATGTACTTACAGTTTTCAGGCCAGTTTTAGAGAGTTTAAGAATTCCTGAAATTTCTTTATGTATTACAGGCTAAGAGTTCTTACAGGGTAAAGCTTTTGGCCTCAGTATTCTGGGTAGTAATTGTACAGGAGCTATTCTTTTAAAGTGTGGTTTGGCTATTATTAGTCTGTCTTTCACCTGTTTTCTCTATAGGTAGAAAAAAAAATTTTCATGAACTCATTTGGAAGCAAGATTTTCTGGACTTATTGTACTCGAAAGTTATTCTGTCCTTAATTATAAATTATAAAATAATTATAAATTATTTTAATTTTACTATACTGTATCAGGCATTTGGAACATTTCAAAATACAACCAGTATTGAAGTCACTTGAGTTGCTTGTTAAAAATACTGATTCCCAGGCCCTCACTGTTGCACTGTGGGTTAAATCACAACACTGCAAGCTAGCCACGGCTGCCTCACTGTGAATTCAATCCCTGGCCCTGGAGGTGACCCGCATGAAGCAGCAGACCTCTCCTGTCTAGCCCGCTGCTCCTCTCATCAGTGTACTTCGTTGATCTGCTTGTTCTGCTCCCCACTCTGTCTCTGGTGCATCCTCTAACCACCCCTTACCTCTGGCCTGTACCCCAGTTCTATATGCATATATAAATCTTCAAAAAAAATTCTGTTTCCCGTGTTGAGACAGAACATCTAGAAGTAAAAACCAAGAATTATATTTTAATAGGAAAGTTCCCTGAGTTTATTATGAATTACTAAGCTAGACTCTGCAGTTTCTTCAGCTGAAGGGAAGGGACGAGAAAAATGGGAATGGAGACAGGGTGATTGAATGATAGATGTGAATGTTTAAATTTATGAAGAAGGTAAGTAGAGAGTTTTAAACAATCCTTTTTATAGACTTTAAAAAAAAATATTTTATTTATTCATACAGAATTGGGGCACAGGCCAAGAGGTACAGGGGCGGTGAGAGAATTCACCATAGACAAAGTGGGGAGCAGAACAGGAAGACAAAATACACTGCTGAGGGGAGAAGCAGGGCAGATAAGAAGGTCTGCTGTGCCATGTGGGTCACTTCTGGGGTGGGGGATTGAACTTGCACTGAAGCGGCTAAGGCCAGCTTCTCAATACTGTTCTCCAACCCACTGTACCACCAGGGAGGGCCCTTAAAATATTTTTTTTTTTTGATGATTGCAAAGTGTTCCATAATCTTATCAAATTTGGGGAAATCCATTTTTCACCACAGCATCTCATAATCTTCCATAAGTTATCATGCATATTATAAATCTTTAATAAAGGATAACACATGTGGTACCCTCCAAACTTATTTATGGAACCATTTTTTTTCTTGGATTTTCTGGGATTAGTTTTCTTTAGAAAGCATTTTGGAAATGCTTCTCTATTTTGTGCCTCTATTGTACTCATATTGCTATATGAAGAATATGTTTTGTCTACAGGAGTGTAAACTTTGACCATTAAAACTGACAAGGAAAATTTTTGTGAATTTTAAATTTTAGAACTACTTTGATGCATCATGGCTTTCCAACCATTTTCCTTTTGGGGCTTGTTGTATGTAGAGAAATTTCTTTCAGAGGGACTAGGAGTCAAAGGTTTAAATGTTAATACCTACTAGCTATACACTGGAACACATTTAAAATTAATTATTGGGAAATAATCTTTCTAAAGAGTTCAATTTTAGTAGTTCTTTCATATAACACAAGAATTGTTAAAATTACATGGAGGTAGTCATTTTTATTTAAGGCACTATTATTAAGTATGAGTTTTGTACAAGAAGCCAACACGTTGTCTGTTACCTGCAAAATAAAATAAATACAGATGACGCTGAGCTGTTTCTCAAATTCTAAAATTGAAAGATTGTAAGTTCTTCTCCTGGGCAGTGTATCATTTCTTTCACTACAACCCACTTGTTTTCACATTGTGCTCTCTGTTTGATGACCCAGGGCCTACTATCTTATTTTCTGTTGAAAACATTTCTGGGTCCCATAAGAATAGATGAAAACCAGATGTTAGCCTGCTTGGATGCATTTCAAATTGAAGTAATCTGCTACTGACTCTGATGAAAGATTCTTTTAAGCTACTTAAATATAAAATCTTAAAGAAGCAACTCGATATAAATAGTCAAAGATAGTGCTTAAGTTAACTTCATATTTCTGAATATAGATATTTAGGGACTCAAAATAGGAGAGGAAATATAGAATCTTATTGTAATTTTTTTGAGTACTTCTTGTGCTAATACTGTCAGTCAGAAGAGATTTGAATTTAAGAATTCATAGGATAATACTCACAGTGCTGCTGAAGTCATATATTGTATCTTTCAGTGAAAAGAAAAAAATAAAAAAACTGAAGAGCCACTTTTAGACTATAGCCATTCTCTCCTTAAGTTCTCATTTTCGTCGTATTAAAGCAAATACTGTTTCTTCCACTTACTTGTGAGTTTGAATGACAGTATCCTTAACTGACCTCTGATACAGTCTTTAATTCTATAACCAACCAGACTGTTTTTCATTCTCTTTCCAAATTGAATGACCTACACTAGTACTCTTTCTGCATGACTTTTCCTCCCATAAGCATGATGTTTTCCTTATCTTTCTTTACAAACTTGTCTTAGTGCTGTTTGCCTGGAAACAGAACCTAAGTGGGGATTCATGTGTGAATGTTATCTTAAATAAAGGAGGTGTTTCAGATGCTACTCACGCAGGAATGTGTGAAACAGGGGTGGCAAGAAGAAACTGAACTTGCCTCAGTTCCTAGGGAACCTGGGAGCAAAATAGCATGATAGCCTATCTTGCCTCCATCTAAGGCAGTTGTAACTTTATTCCTCCCCTGAGTTTGATAGTCATTGGTTGGCTACCAACTGACTAGTACAGTCTGTGTGTGAGTGTATGTATACAGGAGAGGGTTAGGAAGTAATTTCTATTGTTTCTGAAATCACAACCATAAACAACAATGCGGGGACCTCAGAAATAGGTGTACCAAAACATTAGAAAGATCGTAGAGGACCTCTCTGGACACAAAGCACATGTCAGGAGATTCCCACCATATCTCTTTTCAGAGAGCTGGACTTGGAAGTTTTGGCTAACTCAAATTATCTTCCAGATCATTACTGCTCATCAGTGAATATCATGTTTTATTTAGGATAGATTTTCACCATCCCTCATATTCCTTTATGTCTCCTTATGAAATTTGCCTTGTCTAAAGTGCCTCCCACCTGTTTACACTCAGCACATGCCTTGTAGCACCCACAAACCTTATTATCTATCCATAGTATATTCTCACTGTTGCAAAGCACTCATTCCCTCCTCCCCGAATTCCTATCTGATTATGCCATTTGATTTCACATTTAATTAAACACTAAGTATAATCTGGAATAATAACGCAGATTCTAGAATAAGACATATACAAATAAACCTAATTAATTAATAGTCATACCTAATACTGCCTACTTAATTAAGCAGTTACTCCATGTACATTAATTTCATTTTTCCAGCTTTTTTTTAAATACTATTTGTACTTGGCAGTATTTCTTTAGTCTTGTATTTTATTTATATTTATTTATATTTTAACTTGAGATAACATTGGTTTGTAACACTGAATGATTTTAGTAGTAAAGACTGTTCCACAAGTGTGTTACCACAGCACAGCCATCACTAAAATACCAATAACCCTCTACCACATTCCTTGAATATAGTTAGTGTATAATTCATATTTAATAGGTACTAACAGTACTGTTTTCCAAACTTGGACTCTCTCAATATTTGTTAGACACTGTTAGTGACAGCAGGTAATTAAGTAGCACACATAGTGCTGGTCTTTTAGTGAGCATGATAAAGACATTGGACAAGTGAATAAGAAGTATAACAACACAACACAACATAACAACATAGTGGGGAAATAAAGCACATGAGGGAGATAGGAAGTGTAGATAGGGAATTGCAAGCTTTCGTTCTATGGAGGTAATAATTACAAAACTGTATTTGATCCACAAATAAATGTCTCTTATATCTCTTCAGGTGTATATTACCACACAGCAGCCACCACCAGTATAACCATTGCCCTCCATCACAGTCCATTTGTTCCCCAACCCCTTCTCTCAACTTCCCCCATACCCCTCTGTAGCCTCAAATTTAGAGTCAGCTTTTTAGGATTTGTTTTGGTTTGGTTTTGTCTGTATCTTTTTATATATATTTATATTACAGATATGAGTGAAAATATCATTATCTTTCTCCTTTTAGCATAATTCCCTTCAGTTCCATTCATGTAGTGACAGTTAAGAATTCATCTTTTGTTTATAGCTGAGTAGTATTTGATTGTATGTATGCCACATCTTCTTAATTCACTATCTGTAATTGGGAACTTATGTCATATCTGTAAGTTAGCTATTGTAAATTGTACTGTCTTGAACATAAGAAGGGCACATAACCTTTCAAATTAGTGTTTTTAGATACTTAGGCTAAATACTTAGGAGTAGACTTGTTGGATCATATGGTTGATCTACTTTTTGTTTTTTAAGATTTATTTATTCATATAGAACTGGGGTACAGGCCAGAGATGCGGAGGGTGAGAGGATTCACCAGGGACAGAGTGGGGAGCAGAACAGGCAGATTGACGAAGTACACTGCTGAGGGGAGCAGCAGGCAGGTCAGGAGAGGTCTGCCGCTCCATGTGGTCTCCTCCGGGGCAGGCGGGGATCGAACTCATGCGGAAGTGGCTTAGGCATCTTAGTACAGTGCTTTAACCTGCTGCGCCACCAGGGAGGGCTGGTAGATCTATTTT